AACAAATCTGCCCACGCACTAGTACATTCTCTATTTTATTCAATTTACTTTTTTGGATTTGGCATCCATAGCTAACCAGCCACTGCTATTGAGGTTCAGCAACATTTGGATTCATAGAATGAATTTCCATAGAATTCTTTTCTCAAAGGCTCAAGGAGCCACTGGAGGCTAAAGAGCCACATGTAGCTCCGGAGCCACAGGTTGCCTACCCCTGATCTAGCTTCAGCCAAAAAAAAAAAAATTCCAGCAAGAGCGGCAAAATGAACCTAGTGGGCTGAAAAAGCAATTGATGAAGTTATTCTAGCAGGCTACCTCCTGTTTAATTTGTATTAATAATATTAATAATCCATCAAAAAAAAAAAAAAATTCTGTCTGACAACACATTATTGTCACACAAAAATATCATGATACTATGCTGTATCGATTTTTCCCCAAAAGCAAAATGTACAATTTTTCCATCCAAAATGTGAGTAGAAGTATAAAGCAGCCAAATAATGGACATATGGAAATACACGTAAAGTACAGGTACCTAAAATCGTACTAGTATTTTAGGTGATGTAACATTACTTAGTTATTCTGCCACAAGTCTCACAAACAACTAGCAGCCCACCTGCACAGGCTCAGTCACAAATTACACGCATCACCAGATGAGTGAATGACTGATTCATAACTGCACAAACTTTCAAAACTCCACAGCTCGGTCCTACTGCTGTTAAACTAATATACTGCTGCTGTTAAACTAATATACTGTAAACAGCAGCAGTAACAGATACAGTACAACAACCTCCATCACATCAACAGAACCAAAGTGAGACGTTAAATAACCGTTAGACACAGAGATCCGCGGCGGGACCAGCAAACAAAGGTTGTGTTTGACTCACGTTATTTGACACCGAATCCCATTTTCCTTCTCTGTCGTGAAGACGAAGTGATCAATATCCATATTACATCATATCCAGCAGCACCTGTTGTTGTTGTTTGTTTGTTGACATACCGTTGGGTCCTCCTCTTTTCCCTCCATCTTCGCTAGCTAGCTCACGTTAGCTAGCTAACATTAGCATCACGGAAAAACTAGCTAACTCTCCGGTTGTTTCATCAAACTTAATGCCGCTAACCTTCTCATCTTGCTGTAGTTCACACTTGACTTCAGAGTGTGTTCTCCCGGAGGTGTGTCCGTCCACAGACAGGTAGTGACACCTTCTGACTGATATCTTCACCTGTGTGTGTTCCTTCACTTCACTTCTTCTTCTTCTTCTTGACCTTCTTCGCTTGACTGACGTGATTGACTCATAAGACTGCAATACCACTTTTGACCACACAGACTGACGCTTATAGGCTGCCACAACACAGGGGGGCGCTGTTTCGCTCATTTGGGGAAATTTAATTTAAAGCGCGGAAAAGATTTTTTTAAAATGGCCGCAACGACCAAATACTAATAATTTTAAATATAATAATGGAAATAACATAAATGGAATTATTATTATTAATAGTGATAGCTTTAAAACAGTTAATAAGATATTAACATGGATTAAAAAAGTGAACACAATAATACAAATACAAAACAGTTTGGCTACTACTCATTGACACTTTTAAATGTAGGCTAAAAACCCGTCTCTTCTGGCTTTTATGTAGTGTCCTACGTTAGTTCTATTGTTTTATAATTATTCTATTTATCTGTATTTGTCTTATTGCTATTTCCCTGATTGTTTTCATATCTTATTTTATTCTGTATTTTATCCTGCATTTTATTTTTATTTTTGTTTTTATTCAGTGGTCTTATCTGTATTTTTCTCTTTTTTATTATTGCTATTGTCCTGACTTTGATTTTATATTTTATCCTGCATGTTATTTTAAATATTTTTTTTTGTATGACACAGTGTGCATTAGTTTCCCAGTCCGTTTTCTGATTTTACTTTTTTATTCTCTGTATTTTTCAATCAAAATGTAAAGCACTTTGAATGGCATTGATTTGTTTGGTGCTATATACATAAAATTTGATTGATTATGTATAACAATAAGGACATAATATACTACTACTAGTAATAATAATAATAATAATAATAATAGCTTTATTTGAATAACATTTTTAAAAACATAGTTGAGAAGTTTATTTGCAAAAATACAGAAATAACGTAACACAGTGGCTTAATTTACATAACAATAAAGACATATAACACATATAAAAAAATTGATCTACGGAAGCGTATTGCATTCACTTGACAAATTAAAAAAGCCCTGTTTTTCTGAGTAAATTTTTTCTGTTTTTCTGAGTAATTTTCCCCGTTTTTCATGGTAATTTTTTTTCCTGAACAAGGAGACGAGATACTTCAAAATCTAGCAAGAAGCTCCCACCTTGCACCTGCAAGTGACCCCTGCATCCATGGTGACTCCTGCTAATGGATGTATTTTGCATCTGTGCTCCTGCTCCTAGACAATTTCAACTACGGGATCAATAAGGGTAAGGCATGTAATTAGTTACACACAGGGTATGATAATCTAGCTATGTTTTCCACTGCATCCTTCTAGTGTAGGCCTAGATCGCTCAGTGTAACAGGTTAGGTTAGTAACAGGTTCTAACAACGTTAGCTGACAACTGAAGTCATGCCCATACACGTTTGTCAGCTAAAGTTGTTACAACCTGTTACTAACCTAACCTAACCTAACATAGCTAGATTATCATACCCTGTGTGTCACTAATTACGTGCCTTACCCTTATTGATCCCGTATAGTTGAAATTGCATAGGAGCAGGAGCACAGATGCAAAATACATCCATGAGCAGGAGTCACCATGGATGCAGGGGTCACTTGCAGGTGCCAGGTGGGAGCTTCTCGCAAGATTTTGAAGTATCTCGTCTCCTCGTTAAAAAACTACCACGAAAAACAAAAAAAATACCACGAAAAATAGGGCTTTTTTTATTTGTCAAGTGAATGCAATACGCTTCTGTAAATAATATTGAGGACATATAATAAATACAAAAACAGACAAAATAAATAGCCCCAAACAAATGCACTTGTTACTCCTGTTTGAGTGACATTTTCAGTGCCTTTTCCTTTTTTTTTTTTTTTTTTAAATGAAATGAAAAATGAAATAAAGGATTTCCTTGGTATGGAACAATGGGCTTGAGACTGAGAGCTATGGGGTGCCGTTTGTAAAGTGGCTCATGCTGAAAATAACATCAACATTTTGCCACATTTAGCTTCAAACAATGTTTAAAAAAGTGTTGTGAATTTTTTAACGTCACCTTTTACCACATTTACAGCAATATTTGTTAACTTAGAAATATATTAAATAGTTAAATCTAAATATTAAATGTGGCACCTAAATGTTAAATGTTAAATCTAAATATTAAATCTAAATCTAAATGGTAAATCTAAATCTAAATATTAAATCTAAATCTAAATGTTAAATCTAAATGCTAAATATAAATATAAATATAAATATAAATGTTAAATCTAAATATTAAATCTAAATCTAAATGTTAAATCTAAATGCTAAATCTAAATGTTAAATGTTAAATCTAAATGTTCTGGGTGAAACTAAATATTTAGCTAATATGCAAATAGTAGGTATAGTAGGTAGTTATTATCACGCTAATGTATGTTCAAGTGTCCATTTCCCCCGATAAGTTGGTTTTAATTCGTTATTTGATTCTATAAACACAGTCTGACCATCTCAAGCTTTTATTTTGGTACGTCCGGTGACCGGCAGCGGGAATTTGCATATTAGCTAAATATTTAGTTTCACCCAGAACATTTAGATTTAACATTTAACATTTGGATTTAGATTTAGCATTTAGATTTAACATTTATATTTAGATTTATATTTAGCATTTAGATTTAACATTTAGATTTAGATTTAATATTTAGATTTAGATTTAATATTTAGATTTAACATTTAGATTTAGATTTAGATTTAATATTTAGATTTAACATTTAACATTTAGGTGCCACATTTAATATTTAGATTTAACTATTTAATATATTTCTAAGTTAACAAATATTGCTGTAAATGTGGTAAAAGGTGTTTTTAAAAAATTCACAACACTTTTTTAAACATTGTTTGGAGCTAAATGTGGCAAAATGTTGATGTTATTTTCAGCGTGAGCCACTTTACAAACGGCACCCCATAGAGAGCCACAGACAGAGCAGATAAGTCAGAAAGTGTTGACAGATGGACTGACACGTTGTTATTCCTTTCTTTAGGTTTGCTTACTAAAGCAAGCAACAGTGCATTGTACACAGTAAAGTCAAAAGCTGAGTGTGTGTGAAGGACCATAACAGTGGCCCAGCAAACGGCTGAGTGTATAAATGCAGGTTTAAACATGAGTGATGGTCTCTTCCTCCAGCCCACCCTCACACAGCCTCAATCATCTCTGCTCTGTTTATGTTCAAACAGGAAATAGTTTGACCACAACAGTCTCAGTTTGAGTCACAGATAGTAGATGTGCCTCATTTTTCAACATCCAACTGAAGACTTTCATTTCACAAGTGATGTATCCAGTTTCAGAAAAGCAGTGTTTCTGTGAAATTAGATCACCTCATTACACAATATAATGTGAACCATCTACTCTTTGTTAAAGACAGGTCCCTGTAAAACTATAGTTACAAATATTTTTGATGCTTTCCTGCCCCTTTATGTCAAATAAACTGAGGCCAAAATATCATGTGGAACCAAGAGTACTATAAATTTAAATTCTGACTGTTGGGCCCCCAGTCACTGATTCATTAGACAATTATACTCTCAATTATTTGCTTAATAAAAACATCAGAAAACAGTGAAGAATGCCCATCAAGGCTCAGTGTGGCATTAAAGCTACTAAAAGTTCAATTACAATGTTATAAAACACATAAAAGTGGAACATCCTGACATTAAATAAGCTGGAAACAGAATATTTGTCACTCTTTGCTTGATAAATGACTTAAACTATTAATTAATAGGATCAATCATTTTCACAAAGGTGTGTTCATTATCAATACACTGGTTTCTCCATCTGTTCCAGACCATACAGCAACATGACGTTCTGCTTGGAGAGTATATCTAACTCGTTTGGCTGTTATTACCCGAACTCCAACATTCAGGACTTCTTCCTTCACATCCACTCGTCCTACTTCTTCAACTGCTCCAAAGAGGAGCTGCCTGTGCTCGTGGACGCCCCTCAGTGGCTGGTGATCGTCCTCACTCTCATTCCGGTCAGCCTCATCCCTGTACTGGTTTATCTGGTGGTTTTGAAAAGTAATATTCAAGAGTGAGTCATGTCAGACCTGCGTCATGTAAACCTCGTGTTACAGAGTTTGTTATATACGAGAATATGCTCCAGACAGTGCTTTATATATTGTATAACCAGTCTGGTAGGAAGTTAAAAGGTGAGTAAATTATGAAGTTGAGGACAACATTCATAAATTCAAATGTGGGTGAAATGAATCTACAGAAATGTGAAGTTTTTTACTTTTATACATTTTTTATACGTGTTTAACTAAATATGTATTAAAGGTATAGTTCAACATTTTGGGAAATAAGCTTATTTGCTTTATTTTTATTCTACAATATCTTCCAGTTAAAGGGGTAGGCAGAAATCTAGAAAGGAAAAAAAAATAATACACTATGCTCCTGCAGCTCTCTTGTCTCTGTCCTAAGCCCCTCCCACCAGACGACCACAGTCATATGCACACACTAAATACAGTAACCCGGTGCTTCTAATGCATGGATTTATTTTATTTTATTGTGGAGCTCAATCCAATAAGATTTGCCAGCTCGCCACGACACTGTCTCTCCGCCTCGCTCCCCACCTCTGTGGACTGTATCCCTGGGTGGAGAGCAGGCAGCAGCTCTGGAGATGGATCTTTAGTCTGCAATTTAAATTCAGCCAGCGCAAACCCGCCCCAGCACCTGATGTCACAGCAGGCTGGTGGCCAGCGGCAGCACCAGGTCTAACCTGTGTAACAGCAGCAACCGAAAGTTTGCTGATCCAGCAAGGGGCCAAGGCTGTCGAGTTCCCCGCAGTACGAGTTTGCACTGGCTGAATTTGGATGCTGCAGCTGCTGACTGGAGATCAGTCTCCAGAGCTGCTGCCCACTCTCCTTCCGGCATAGTGGTCTGTTTGTATGGATGTGAGGCAGAGGACACTGTGATGTGAGGCTCTAGCTAATGTTAGCTACATAATTGTGACCTTGAAGCTGCAGCCATGAGCCTTTAGCTCTGGTTAGCAGAAGGCTTAACGATGAGCAGTGTTTTCTCCCCATCTCTGAAACACTCCGCCAATACTGACACATTTTGGCCCAATCCCAATACCCCCCCTTGTCCACTACCCCTTGACCCTCGAAATGAAGCAACAAGGGGTAGGGGTTGAAATTGTTCCCTAGGAATTGGGACACCACTCACTACGTCACCGTATCGGTTACGTTCACGCATACATAACTATTTTAAACAGGAAGCTGCGAGCCATCTACATTTCCAACCAGCATCTACAATGGAGTCTCCAGTTGAGTTCATCCTACCAATTGCGCTTGCCGCATTCATCATGCTTCATTTGATGAACGACAGACGACAGGGGACTTTAGCTAGCTAGCTAACCAGCTAACATTACGAGGCAGCATAGTTATACTAGCTGGCGTGTTATCGTAATGTGAAAAGTCTGACAATTTTGCAGAATAGGACAGATGCCAGACGCCAGATAGTGCGAGCTAGCTAGCTAGCTAACAAGCAACCTGATGACGGTAACGTTAGCTATGCATGAACTTTTTTCCCCATCTCTTGCTCATAGGTAGCCATGGCGGCGTCTACCCCTCGCTGGCAAGTCAGCATCTGAAATCCCTCGCTCCGAAGGGCTAGTTTCATACCCACTACCCCTCGTTATGCCCCCTACCCCTACACGCAAAAAGGAATTGGGAAGCAACTACCCCTCGAGGGAACGCGCAAATGTAGGGGTAGGGCCTTTGTGTTCTGTATATTGTCAGACTCTCCTGTAGGGTTCAGTCACACATGAGTGAATGCAGGCAAGTGACCATAGCCTGCCTAGGTGATTGAGTGTGCACTGCCAATTGTGACACACAGGGAAAGCTAGCTTGCTAATAAATACCGCTAAACATGATTTGGAGAGACTCTCTTTTTTTATGACTCTGTCTACCTTTTTCGAGTTGCTTTGCAGTGTAGGCAGTTGTTGCCAATACTGGAACAGCAACTTTCTCTGCAAGATTATCTGCTATGAATCAGGCTTTCACCATCTGAAGGGACGTGCACACACATCTGCATTTGTCAAACAGCCAATAGGAACGCCCTCTCTCTCTGAAATGTCCTGTGATTGGCCAGAGTCTCCCATCATGAGCTAGATTTTCTGAAGCCTGAAAACAGAGCCAAGAGGAGGTGCAGAAGTGTAGGTTTCTCTCAGACTGCTTGAACTACAATATGCTGAAAGTTTATTATGGGATTTTTGCCCAGTGACACTAAGATAAAACTCCCTACCCCATCTTTAAATCTGAACCTAAACCCAGCAGTGGGTTAGTTTGTCTTAGCATAAGGAACAGGGGTAAAGCAAGCCTGGCTCTATAGGGAAAGGTAACAAAATCTGCCCCTCTAAAGTTAACTTATTAACACTTTTTATCTTGAGTGCAGCTATCTGTGGGATAATCAAAGAAGTCAGCAGTGTCACATAACTCCCCATGAACCCAAAACCTGTCATTTCTTCTCTTAACTCAAAGTTGAAAGAGCTCTATTGTCTAAAATATTATTCGGCTGAATCATTAATGTTTGTCTTCACTGGAAATATGTGGCATCAGGATGTGAACATGCTCAAACACTGTGAATCAGAGCTTTAACCTCATAATCACGGTGTTTTCAAACTTGGTATGCTGGAGTGGAGCAAAAACAGGAAGAGATACTTCACTGTCCTCGTACTTCTGACAACAATGTACTATACATACCGACACAGGCCGGCTGAGTCACATCTCTGTCAGATCACATTGCTGTACTACCTGTGAATTGCTATTTTCAGTAAATAAAGCCTGGAGTGTATTTTTTCATATGATGCTATGCTCACCCTTTGTTTGAAATGTATATTTGTGCATTTATAACAGTTTTAAACACTTTTTTTTGGTAGTTTGTCACTTGCTAATGACAGGATGATTTTTTTTTAATGTTAAGTTAAGTCAGTTCCTTTACATGCAACTTTTTCCATACCTTTATAATATGAATTTATTATTTTAGATATAAATAAATCTTAACTACATACAACATGTTTTGTCCCTTATCTCAAGAAATGTGTCACTGTATATTTTGCAAGTTGTTGATGATTTGTCACCTCAGATCAGCTCATTGTCGGACTGGAACTCTGAGACCGGTTGCATGAAGCACCTAAAGTTAAAATTTTCCTTTTAATCCTAAATAAGGTTTCCTTTAAATAAATCAGTTGCACAGAACATCCTTAAATCTAAAGATTTCCTTAAGTTTTTCTCCTTTTCTTGGTCTTATACTTAAGGAATTGCTAAAAGTTTGTTAAACTGTGGCACAGAGCACCTTAGCAACCAAAGTAAGGAAGGAACCAACTGAAGGTGTCCTGAGAAGAGTGTTCCACAACTGGAAGAACCCGAAGGACACCCTTAATGGTGAGCAACTGATTTTGCACTATAGATTTGAGGAGGTCAATTTAAGAACTGGAGTTGGATCACTCAACTTTCTGAAGTTGCGCTCTTCCAGCCCTGTCACAACTAATGATTGCTTTGCGCTTTTACACAACGGGATCTTTCCAATCAGTTATTGGCGAGGTATTTCATGTACAGAAGTCAACTGTGTGCCGGTTTCAAACACCCTCACCTGTCTGCGAACATTGTTATGAAGTGCCCGTCCCAACAAGAGAAGGATGAGATAGTGGCGCACTTCTCTGATGTTGCAGCTTCCCTAAAGTGTCCATGATAAGAGTAGAACTTTACTGCTGTAAAATCTCGTTCAGTGCAGTTAATTTCTTCATGTCTTTCCTTGACTAAGGAAACCTTTTAAGAGATTCCCCCAATCCCAAATGGATCCCTTATAGACTCGTTGACTCAAGCCCTAAGAGCTTAAGAGCTAACCTGATGGAGAATTGGGACCCCACTTCCCCTCACGTGAATGTGCAAAGCCAATGGGAAGGGCCAAGACAAGTGCTAAGGGGAAGAAATGGAATTGGTCCTAGGTCTGTAAGGGCTTAGGGCTTGAGTCAACGAGTCTGTAAGGGATCCATTTGGGATTGGGGGATTGTGCGCAACACTCTTAATTAATTTCCTCAGGTAAGGAAAAACTAAACCTTAAGTGTCAAACTTAAGGTGCTTTGTGCTCCCAGCCCCTGGACCTTATGATACTTGCTCCAATAATTGGCTTAAGGCAAAAACACACCAGTGGTGAACGGGGGTGTGAAAAAATATGCCGCTGTTATTTTCAATGTATATCCATACACAGGCAGCATGCTAGACGCACATCAGCGCTCCTGGATGTGCCACCCTGTGCATTTTCCCCCACTCGCTCTCTGCTTGTACAAACCAGCTCCCGTAGCAGCTCTTTTCTCAGCTCCTGTGGCAGCTCGGCTCCTCTCCTGACCACTGATGTATAAAGAGAATTCTGAAGCTGTCTCTGTGTCTCATGTGTGACAAATGATGAGTGAGGAGAGACTCATTGTTGAGATCAAGAAATACTCTGGGCTAATCGACCCACAATCCAGACAATACAAAGACAATGGCCAAAACAACACTTCCTGATGAGTCATAGCTCTGGACATCGGCTCTCCAGGTGAGAAATCAAGTTTAATTATAGCTGCTGCGCAGTGATGGGTCGGGTCCGGGCATTTTTAGTCATTTCTGAGCAACAAGCAGAAGAATTGGAAGACATTTTGGAATTTAGCAACACAATCTGCCTTTTGCATCAGCTTAGTCTTGAACTCACAACTTCTGAGATTATGAATCAATTTCTATTTCACTGAGCTAATTAGTCAGTGACAATTCATGTGTAGCTTCACAAACTGACTAAGCCAGACGTGCAGGTTTAGCAGCCGTCCATGCATGGAAAAGCAGATTTCAAACCACTGTAAAAAATT